ATCATTAATGTGACGCTAAGGAAAGGAATGAAGAGAGAATAGTATAGAAATTCTCCTTTTACTCAAGTCTTAAAACTCAGCATGAGCAAAGCAACCACAAGGGCAACTGGGCAAGTTTCAAAGCAAAGTTGCTTACCTTGGAGAGAAGCTCTCATTTGGGGTTCTCTCTTCTTCTTTCTAACGTTGATGTAAAGTAAGGGATGCATAAAAATGAGAGCTTGAATTATTGCTAGCAAACCATGACAGAAGAACACCTTCCCGGAGCTGCTTTTAATATGCATTTGCTCATGGAGAGAATATGGAAAGAATATATCAGGACCATCCTTTTATTCTCTTTTTGATTTTTGGGGCGGACTACATGATAAAGTGGGATTTGGGCGCTTGGAGCAATCAAATATATATATCTATAAGGCCAGTACAAACTCAATAATGAACTCTTCTAACATCCAGCCCAAATTATTACAAAAAGAAATGGAGAAAGGTGTCAATAGGTCGTGTTCGAGTTCATTTATTAACATATAGCCGTGTTTATGTCAACTCAGTTAATCAACAACATGCATGACGATATAAAAACAATCATACAACTCAGACTATTCATAAGAAAAATAAGAAAACCATTAATTAGTAATACTAATATCAGTTTTTTTTTTTTGTCAAATAATACTAATATCAGTTGAACGGTGTTGTATACATCAAATGTTATATTTTATAATGTGTTGTATCTGAATTTGTCATCATTTGCATCATGATTTTATAGTTTTATTGTTGCTTTTGTTTCTTTCCTTTCTGTTTACCATTTTGGTGAATGAAGGGTCTCATCCTACAAAATAGCATGTGAAATAATATGATCATTTTACCGGTTGGAAAACGATAAGTTCCCACCCTAATAAAATAGACTTCTCAATAGGAACAAAAAAAGAAATAGATTCCTTAGCAGCAGGCAAATGTGTTAGGTTCTTCTTTGAGGGGAGGCTTGGAGTTATGGCCACATGTTAAAGTAAGAAGGTTACTGAAGGCTAGAAAGGCTTGAAAGCATTGTTTTCTACGTTCTGCCAAGCTTTAGCGTCCCGCAACCCATAAGCTATGCAGCAAACATGTAATAGGCAAACCTTTTTTATATTCAAAATAAATAAAAAACATTAGTATGAGAACGAGTCACTCAATACTACGGTCTAATAGTATTTTTCTTTATAAGTGAGAAATCTTAAGTTCGAATTTTATGAATTTACGAATTCAATACTGATTTGTTCTTCCCATCTCTTAGTGTAAATATATTATTGTGTGTGTATATATATATATATATATATATATATATATATGAAAAGATGAAAACTGTAAAAGGGTTCAAGATATGTATTGGTATGGGTCGAACATGGGAGTTCATTTTGGTCTGAAAAAAGGTGAAAGGGTTAGATGTTCGTTGGTTAAAATAGCATGCAGGTCATTCAAGTGGGTCAGTGCAAGACATTTCACTAAACAGTCTTTCTCTGTATACGATCTCTTTTATTTTTTAAAGACATGACACATTGAGAAAATCTCACATTTACTTAATTTCTTGATCACAGATATTTAGTTGAACTATGCATCAAATAATCACACAACTTGCTCAATTTTCTTCATCCCATTTATTGACACGATTGTTTGTTCACAGTATAGACTTTAGATTTCTAGTCTCATATTGGTTAATCAATTTAATCTTGTAGATTTTATATCCACTAATAATACCTTTCTATGAATTTATACCCTATAAAAAACGATTGTGTCAATAAATAAGTCAAGTTGAAGAAAGTAGAGGAAAAGCTAAGTTTTCTCAAGACACCTTTAACAAATTTGGGAGTAATTTAGCTCAACCCAAGACCCAAAAAACGTGTACATAAAATTAAATCAAAAGGCTAGTCTAATTGTTCCCTTGCTAGCGTCTTGTTAGATTAAATTAAAAGGAACCTCCCGACTTTTAGGCGAATTTATTTGTAATTGAATGTTAAGGTTGATCTGTGTGAGGGCAATTTCGTGTCCCTCCTTGTGCTTGTATGGTGTAATCTCAACCTTTTTCTAAAATGAAATTCTATCGTTGCTCTTCCAAAAAAGAAAGTGCTAGTCTAAATTCTAAATTTCTAATGGTCAAGAGGATCCTTGAGAGCCTCATGATGTGTCATGCAGCAATCATAAACTCTCATTTGTCTAAAACTGGACTACTTTATTCTTATATCAGAATGATGAAGACGTTTTTATCTATTTTGGCAAACCTAGTTGAAGGTTTGCATTGCCCAAAGCAGAAGATGTGTTTGCATTGCATTGCCCAAAGCACGGGGGGGAGAAAAGCATCCACTGGGTTTCTCGGGGCCGCTTGGGGTATCCGAAACAAGAGGGTGGTATGGGGTTCCGAAATTTTCAAGAGTTTAACGATGCTCTGCTCGCAAAACAGTGTTGGAGATTGATTCATGAACCAAACTCGCTTTGGGCGCAGCTGCTAAAGGCCCGTTATTTCCCACACTGCTCCTTCATGGATGCTACTTTGGGGGGCAGAGCGTCTTGGGGTTGGTCTAGTCTCCTGGTTGGGCGTGAGATCCTTCGGAATGGTGCTCATTGGCAGATAATGAATGGGAGAAGTATTAGGTTATGGCAGGATAGATGGTTGCCGTCTATCTCTGCTGGGAAACCAACGGTCATTGGTGATGTGAGAGTGTCTCGGAATATGCGGGTGGATGCAGTGATTAATCATGATTCCGGATCTTGGAATATTGAGGCCATTAGGCCTTTTATTTCTTTAGTGGATTTCGGGGCCATTCTGGACACTCCCATTGGAGATAGGTGCCGTGAGGACAGGATGATTTGGCCGGCTACAAAAAATGGGGTGTACTCTGTGAAATCAGGGTATCATTGGAAGCATGCTAGCTCGTGCTCATTTGTTGGTGGGGCCTCCTCGTCTTCCTCTGTCACCCCGATAAAGGTTTGGAAGAGTATTTGGCATTTGGAGACTCCTCCGAAGGTCCGTAATTTTATGTGGAGGGCTTTGAATCGAGCTCTGGCCACGATGGAGAATTTGTTCAGGCGCCGTTGTTCCCCTTCCCCGTGTTGTCCCATTTGCTTACACCAGGATGAATCTGTTGAGCATATGCTCCTTCTATGCCCGTGGGTTGAACCCATCTGGTTTGGTGGCCCTTTGAATTATCGGGTGATTAGAGCCAATATTTCGAATATCCCGGCCTGGGTGTTGTCTTTCCTTGAGGCGGGGATGGGCTCAAAAGAAGAGAAGGCTAGGATTTTGATGATAATGGCTTTCACTTGCTGGCACATCTGGAAAAATAGGTGTAGTTTTGTGTATGAAAATGTGGGTATTTCTCCAAATCGTGTCATCATGGCTATAACGACTTCGGTGAATGGTTTTTTGGAGGCGATTGATTCTTCCGCCCCTAGTCCTCTGAGGAACCGGTCTCTATCTGGTCCTCCTGCTCGCTGGGGTTCCCCGGACCATCCTTTTGTGAAGGTGAATGTGGATGCGAGTTGGAGCGCTAGGTCCAAATGTGGTTTTGCTGGTGTGGTTATCAGGGATCATGCGGGGTTGTTTGTGGCAGCTAAACGTGGTCGGGTTGGGGCTCCTTGTGTGGCTGCTGCTGAGGCTGCCGCGATCTTGCTGAGGTGTGAGCTGGCCAAAGAGTTGGAGTTAGAATGCATCATTGTGGAGTCCGATTCTAAGGAGAGCATCCTTCATTTAGAAAAGGGGCATTTGAGTGGCAGCTGGGAGGCTTTCCCTGTTATTTCAAAGGTTTTGCGCCTTAGGGGGGTCTTTCAGGACTGTCGCTGGTCTTGGGTCCCAAGATCGGCCAATTTGGCGGCGCATGTGTTGGCGTCGAGAAGTTTTCCGGAGATGTGCGATGTTACTTGGGTAAATCTTCCTCCATCTTCGTTGGTCCATGTTTTAAATAAGGATGGGTTGCCTTGCCCCCCTTAATTTTTGTTTTGCAGGGGTAGGGGGTGACTGGGGCTTTAGGCTAGGTCGGTGTTTTGTTCCTCCTCCTCTGTTTTCATGTTATGGTTTGCGCTGTTGCTTGCTCTCGGGTGAGCTTCTGTTTGCTGTCTGGCGTTGGCCTGTTTCTTTGGGCCAGCTTTCCAAAAAAAAAAAAAGCAGAAGATGTGTTTTTTTTTTTTTTTTTTAAGTATATCGATATTTTTACATTAAAGAAAGGGGAGTTCGTGTCACATCCCGGTCCAGGGCGGATCACTTTCCGGGCCCGCTCCATCACCGTAGCACGATATTGTCCTCTTTGGGCTTATCATTCCCTCACGGTTTTGTTTTTGGGAACTCACGAGCAACTTTCCAGTGGGTCACCCATCATGGAATTGCTCTAGCCCCCTTCTTGCTTAACTTCGGAGTTCCTACGGAACCCGAAGCAGTGAGCTCCCAAAAGGCCTCGTGCTAAGTAGGGATGTGAATATACATTTAAGGATCACTCTCCTAGACGATGTGGGATATCACAGTTCGGCTAAGTCACACAATTAGCAGCCTAATTTGGTATCAAATTCGCCATCCATGAGATTCAAACCTAAGACCACCTCACTTTCATCGAAAAGGAATATTATCATACTATAATACTGAGTGGCACCCAAAGCAGAAGTTTGGCCATTAGTTGACTAAAATTCCTCAAACGACAGGGGAAAAAACCCAAAAAAGCAGATTAATTGATGCTAAATACTGATTTCTTGTACTTAATTTCTTGTCAAATTCAATCACAATCTCAATCAACTTCATATATAATCCAGCAAAATGGTGTTTGACTAATGGAGAACATAGTTATTTGCAAAATAGTCAATTGCCCTTTTTTGAGACCACTGATTTTTACACCAAAAATTTCGAAATCTCATCCAACCATATATCCAGATAAAATAAATACATAAAACCACTGATTTTATTTTTTTTAATTATATCTCCCCAAAATTACTCAAATTCCCTTAAAAGGTAACTTTCAAATTGGAGGAAATTCCACCACTTTCCGTTATTAATGCAGAAGGAGGAAGCAATTTTTGCTTCCAAAAACAGGCAAAAACGGAGTTTTAAAAACAAGAGAAGGAAGAGCCTCTTTCTACGCACACTTCTTCTCTTTACAAAATATTGGCAGATGGGAATTTCAATTCTCCCTTCTTTTCTTCTCTCAGTTCTTCTCATCTCCTTGTTTCATATTCCAGCACATGCTGCCAAAAGTGTATGCATGCATTGCATTCTTTCATTTCGCCGAATTAAGTTTTTGAAGTTTCGGTCTGGTCAAATTTCACTAATGGCCTTGAAATGATTTCTTTGTTTCAGTCTTACATTGTGTACTTAGGAGCAGGTCCTCATGTTCTGGACCCTTTGTCCGCCGATCTCGATAGCGTGACAAATTCTCATTACAATCTTCTTGGAACAGTTTTGGGAAGGTATATGCATTCTGTGTAGGGTTTGAATTTTCTCCCCATGCTAATATCGTTGGATTTTTTTTTTCATTTGTTCCAATTTGTTCAACAGCAATGAAAGGGCACAGGAATCAATATTTTACTCATATACGAGAAATATCAATGGCTTTGCTGCAATTTTGGATGATGAGGAGGCTGCTCAGATTGCAAGTAATATTTCTATTTGCAGCTTCCTTTTCTTTCCTACGTTACTTTTCTTTTTTTCTTTTTTTTTTTTCACCATGCATTTTCTGTGAACTGCAGAGGATCCAAATGTTGTGTCTGTTTTCCCAAACAGAGGAAGAACACTACACACAACTCGTTCATGGGATTTTCTTCAATTGGAAGAAAACGGCGAAATCCGGGCCGGCTCTATTTGGAAGAAGGCACGGTTAGGTGCAAATACAATTATCGGAAACCTTGATACTGGTAATCTTAATTATTTTGTTGCTTTACAATTTAGGTTAAGTTGTACTATTTGAAGTATAAAATCGACCACATTCCTTGCTTTCCTTGATATATTTCTGCACGAATAAATGTTGCATGAGTATTTGACCTAAACACATTAGTTCAACGTTTTTCATATTATATAAAAGTTCAGGGAAGTGATATATGATAGTTTAGGTTCAAATGTTATAATTTTTTAAAAACCTACCAACCCAAATGATTTTTGACCTAACCATAATGATTTTGACCAAACCACTTTCATATTTTAAAGCATTTTGCAAGTTGATGTCAATTTCTCTGAATTATAAACAAACCAAATGTAATCCTTTTTTGTTTTACTTCACTATAAAAAGAGAATTTATTTGTTAGAAATTAACTACAGTAAGAAATGCAGATCAGTCGAGATTGTGCTTCTAATTTCTTCATCATTGGAATTTTCTCGGAAATATGAACAAATTAATGTGGCTGTAGAATTTTAATTAAAATAGAATTGGAAGGATATTCTAAACAGACAAGAAATTGATACAAAATTTATAATTTATATACGATTATTGTCTATTTGAGGTCTTTTAGTTCTATTCCTGAATAAAAATTTATAACTAGTTTTATTTCTGAATATTTCTTCTCTTTGGCATATTTTCTCCATGCGTTCTAGTAATTTTCCATTATGTATAGCATATTATTTGGTCGGCAACACTAGTCATTTGTCAATCATGCTTTCTGACATTTTCTTGTTGGGTGCTATGTTTTCTTTATTGGTTTTGTGATAGGTGTTTGGCCGGAATCAAAGAGCTTTAGCGATGAAGGGATGGGACCAATCCCAGTTAAATGGCGTGGAATCTGTCAGCTGGACACCAAAGATGGTTCTCGTTGCAATAGGTCCATTCTCTTCTCCACTTCTTGCTTTTTTTCTCAGAGACTTCATTTTTTTAAGTAGATTACATCGTTTTAAGGGTTCATTGGTCCCAATTTGTATATTCAGTTAATTTAGAATCTTGATATGTAAGGTGAAAATACCAAAAAGTTGTAATCGAATCGTACTCAAGTCCGTCTCTTATTCGGACGACTACTGACCGTTAATATATGTTGATGCCTTATTGCATAAACAACTAGAAATTACTCATTCATGCAAGCAGTTATCATTAGCGTTGTCCATTAAATACTTGCCCACTTAATGTGTGCGCGCTAACGACCTGCCTTGATATTTCACTTATTAGGCACTTGTTTAAACTATGTGCAAGTGAACGGCTGTTCTTAGCACTTCACTTATTAAACACTTGCCCGAGTAATGTAGGATAGGTTCTCACCAATATGTTGGTTTCTACTACTTAGGAGCAGCTTTCATTCACGTGAAAAGTGATTGGGTAATTGACTTTTGAAAAGTAAAATAGCATACATTGGGAATTGTCGGGCTACATCTATCTAAAACGCGAACTTTGATATAAAGTTTGAAAACAAAGGTGGGTCCTTGGTACAAAGTTCCCTAAAGTTGTGTCTCCCACCTCTTTTTCCAGTATTGTATATATTTTAGCAATTTATCACATATCATGTTGGAGAAAAACTTTTTATTGTACTCAGAACAAAGAATTCATTATATGTTAATAAAAATGTTGAAGAAAGTTTTATTTTTGAAATGTTATTCCACTTGTATAATAACATGTAGTGTATTATTCCATAGTTTGGGCACACTACAAAATTTCTCCAGGTCGGACGGCAAGAATATTTTGGAATTGTGATGGCAAAAATATGTTTTGGGCGTCATCAAAAGAAAATTTTTAGATGACAAGAAAAGCAATTTCCTCACTTATATCCACATTTAGAGGCTTTTGTTTGGCCAACTGTACCCAATAAAACTGGAAAATAAGTCAACTGGATCATTGTTTATTTTGTACATTTGCATCACGTGCAGACGTAATACCAACTATGCTAGTAATGTTTGTATCATACAAAATCATTTGGGTTTGAACTAATCTAATCCAATTAAACAATTATTTACCAGTTAATATCATATTTAGATCTGTTGCTGTGTTTTGTTCATTTGCTTAATGCACATCACATCGTTATTTAATTTCGTTAATGCTGTTGTTTAACTAGGCGATAATGGCTAATTAATTCGGATTAACACCTATGTAGGAAGCTGATCGGAGCAAGGTACTTCAGCAAAGGATACGCCGCGTATGCTTCCATGGTTAACTCCACTGCAGCCAAGTCCATCCAGCCCAACGCTCGTGACCATTCCGGTCATGGCTCACACACCCTTTCAACGGCAGGTGGTAATTTTGTTCCTAGAGTAAGTGTTTTCGGTAATGGCAATGGCACTGCAAAGGGTGGATCCCCAAAAGCTCGCGTGGCTGCGTATAAAGTATGCTGGCCTCCAATCAATGGCAACGAGTGCTTCGATGCAGACATCTTGGCCGCATTTGAAGCTGCAATTAATGACGGTGTTGATGTGCTCTCGGTGTCTCTAGGTGGTGCAGCTGCGGAGTTTTTAAGTGATGGGATTGCAATAGGGTCTTTCCATGCTGTTCAGAAGGGGATTACCGTGGTGAGCTCAGCTGGGAATTCAGGTCCTACTCCTGGGTCAGTGTCGAATGTGTCACCGTGGATGCTCACAGTTGGAGCTAGCACAATTGATCGCGAGTTCACCAGTTATGTTACTCTTGGCAACAAGAAGCATCTCAAGGTACATAAATCTAACACCCTAATCGCTAGTCGTGTGTTTATTGTAACGAGTAATGCTACAGGGGTCACATTAATCTATGACATGATATGGTAGTCGGTGTGCAAATACACAGTTTTATGTAAACAATTAACCCTAATCGCTGTTAGTCTGTTCATCATCATGAATAATGCTAGAGAAATCACATTGATTTACAACACGAACAGTTTAACATCCTTACCATATTCTTTTAGGCATTGTACTTGAAATGAAATCCTTTACAGGTATGAAATTTCTTCTCGTTGTACTGATAGTATTCCAACGTCTGTTACTAGGGAGCAAGTCTTTCCTCTGCAGCTTTGCCAGCTAAAAAGTTCTACCCATTGATAAGTGCATGCGATGCTAAAGCTGCTAATGCGTCTGGTTCTGAAGCGTGAGTAACATCAATTTTCAATGATATGCCGTTCATAATGTACATTAACTGTATCTTCTCGAACTTCTTCAGCCATCTCTGCAAACCTGGAACCCTCGATAAAAAGAAGGCAAAGGGGAAAATTTTGGTTTGCGTTCGAGGGCAAAATCCAAGAGCCGAGAAGGGTCAACAAGCTATTCTTGCAGGCGCTGTTGGTATGATTTTGGTTAATGATAAGCTAAGCGGGAATGAAATCATAGCTGATCCTCACTTGCTTCCGGCTTCACACGTTAATTATTCTGACGGAAAATCTGTCTTTGCCTACATGAAGTCCACCAAGTACATATACTGATCTTTCATTACGTTTTTTTTTTTACCTGAAAATTTCATGATTAATTCTAGCCTCTCATTCAATGAAAATCCACCAGGAATCCTATGGCTTACATTAATCGTGTAAAGACGGAACAAGGAACAAAGCCAGCTCCATTTATGGCTTCATTCTCTTCGAGGGGACCTAACGCCATTGAGCAGTCAATCCTTAAGGTATTCCTTTGACATTATTATGTACTATAAGGCTTCTTCAAATTAGTCTAACTTATTCTTGTTTGCACATCAGCCTGATATCACAGCGCCAGGAGTGAGTATAATTGCTGCTTATACTCAAGCAACCGGGCCAACTGGTCAGAAGTTCGATAACCGGCGTGTATCTTTCAATACACAATCCGGAACTTCCATGTCGTGCCCTCATGTATCTGGAATTGTCGGTCTTTTGAAAACCCTTCACCCGACATGGAGCCCTGCAGCTATTAAATCTGCAATCATGACCACCGGTACAAGTTTCCCCTTCTGATTTAAGGCACCATAATTTTGTCTCACTTGTGTTCGAATGGTTAAGTTTATTCCTTGGTTCCTTCTGCAGCAAGCAAACGAGATAACAGCAAGGGCACAATGCTGGACTCATCCAAGGCCAGAGCAACACCGTTTGCTTATGGTGCAGGACATGTTCAACCAAACCGTGCGATGGACCCTGGACTTGTTTATGACCTAACTACCGATGATTACTTAAACTTCTTATGCGCTCGTGGCTACAATGCAACGCTGCTCAAAGTGTTTTCTAAAGAGCCACACAAATGTTCCAAGGCATATAGTCTTTCTGATTTTAACTATCCTTCTATAACAGTTCCCAATCTCCGTGACACACCAGTGACCGTGACTAGAAGGGTTAAGAACGTCGGCTCTCCGGGCACATATGTAGTTCGTATCAAGGAACCGGTGGGAGTTTCTGTTACAGTTAAGCCTAGTACCTTGCAATTCAAGAGCAGTGGCGAAGAGAAGAAGTTCAACGTTGTTCTGAAGCCTAAGGTTCAAGGGCCTGAAGACTACGTATTTGGAGAGTTAAATTGGATGGATGGGAAGCACAATGTCAGGAGTCCTATTGTTGTCATGCACTATCAGAGATGACAAAGTAGTTCAATTCATGTTCATCATTGTTTAGAGCCTTCAAGATATGTGAATTTTAGGCTAGGAAGATGTATTTATTCGTCTTTTCTTTCATTCGGAAAAGATTTACTTATCGAAAACATCAGTGCAAAATAAGGGGAATAAAGAAGTTGAAGTATTCAGTTGGTTATCATGGTACACATGTTCTATAAATTTCATAGTTATGTCAACTTCTGCAATTCTTGAAGAAGAGAAGAAGAACCCGCAGGGATTGCAAGTACTTAGCTAATTACGCTTACCCCGCGTTTCGATGAGGAAATTTAAGGATTATAATTTTTATTCCAAAGTCATATCTTTATTTATTTTTTCATCTGTAAAAAATTACACGAAGTATGAAGTTACACAACCAACACTCCAAACAACCATATTAGATACTCATACACCACGAACAAACGCCAACCCCGTGTTAAACTTAAGCAACCACACACCATGAACCAAAATAGATAGGAACTTCATACTCGGAGATGCACCACGAAAATATGAAATAGCATCGTATTCAAGTGCCAGAACCTGATAGTTTCATTTGAACACAAGTTTCAGTGTCTTTGAAAATAGAAATACCCTGATTAATTAATATAACAAGTAGAGATGTCAAAACAGATTAGAAAAAGGGAATCATCAGTCAGTAGGGAAAAGAATGAAATAGAAAGGAGGACGGGAAAGAGTAGGTACAAAAACAACAGAAAGTTGACCAGCTCGGAGACCAGTGATGAGATGGCGGTGTTTACTGAGAGATGGTACTGATTCACCAGAGGAAGTAGCAGATTTCGTGGGATGCCGCCATGAAAGAAGAGTTTGGTATCGATTCATCTCTCAGAGAATAGAGCACGATCAAGTACATACAGATTGCAATGCAGGTGGTGTTTTACTTTTTTTTTGGTAAGAAGAAGAAGAAGATGGACAGTTGGGGTGCTAAGATGGAAAGCTCTAATTTATAGAGAGGCTAGATTGAAGTTGACTATGAGTCGAATGTTAGTTGAGCACAAATAATATGTGAGTATATGTTAGGGAGACCAAATTTTTTTAACCAAATTTGCAAACTAAATGATATGGTTGTAGATGATTGAATTATTAGTTAAGTATTGATTAACGTGTTTGTTTCTTATTGGTGACACATCATTTGGTTTACAATTTAGTTTAAAAAATTTGATCTTTCTAGCATCACTCATAATATGTGGACTCTTAAGAGCATCCCCAGCGTGGGGTTTAGCTCGGGGGACGGGCTCCAAAACGGAGGCCCGAGTGAAGTTGGGTTGGCTCCAGCGTGGGGGAGCCGGGGGGAAGGGGGAGGCCCGAGGGCCAGGCCCGTGAGAAATTGACAGGCCTTGAGCCCGAGGTGGGATGACGCCATGCTGACGCCAGGGTGGCGTCAGCGTATTATTTAATTTTTTTTGTGTCAGGCGCGTGCACCCCACCCGCGCGTGGGGGCGCGTCCTGACACAATAATCAGAAAAAAAAAAAGGTTTTGTATGTTACCGTTGGGAAGCCACGTGGCATCCCACGGTACGTTAGATCCTAACGGTCACTTAATGTGGACCGATAGATCTCAACGGTAAAAAAAAAAAAAAAGTGTCAGATTTAATATCCACCGTTCGATCTGAGATCAACAGTGGATATTAAAATGCTTTATAAATTAAAAAATAAATGAAAAAATAGTTTAAAAAATCTGAAAAGTTACCGTTGTGACACGTGGCACAATCTGGAGCGTTGGAATTCAAATTTTTTTATATCCAACGGCAGAGATTAATTAATTGAATAAAATTTTAAAAAAAATTGTAAAAAATTCAAAAAAAATCAAAAAACTATCTGAAAAATCTGAAAAAAATTGTAAAAAAAATTGTTTTTACTTTTCTATAAATACCTTCTCATTATCATCTACCTTACACAACAATTTCATATTTTCTCAACTACTTTCAATCACATTCCTTTCTTTGTCTCAAAGTTTGAATCCATTTTTTTTCAACAAAATGACCACTGGTGCAGGTACGAATTGGTCGCTTATTGAAGATGTTGCATTGTGTACTAGCTGGGTTGAAGTTACTCATAGTTCGCTTACGGGTAATGAGATGCAGTTGTGAGAAATGTGGAGTCTTATTCATACCAATTTTCGGAAAAGAACCAAAGAATCGATGTCCAGTCGTTGGAAATTACTTAGCCAATCGTTTAGTACGTGGAGAGACGCCTTGGCACAAGCTAGTAGTAATATTCGAAGTGGGGAAAATTACTCGGATCAGGTAACAATATATTATTTATTTGATACCCAAATTTACATTATAATTATTTGTTTGTATTATTTATTTGTTATGTACATAATTTATTATTTATTGTTTGTATTATTTATTTGTTACGTAAAAAATTTATTATTTATTGTTACTTATTTGTTACATTATAATTATGTTGTTTGTTACATTATAATTATGTTATTGTTACTTATTTGTTACATTTATTTGTTATGTTGTTTGTATTATTTATTTTTTACTTATTTTCATTAAAATTAATGTATAATATCACTTACATTAAGAAAAAAAAATGTGTATATTTAAGGTTAAAATTATTTACTAAACTTGGAACTCTAGCCCCATGTTATGATTAACATGACATGTATATATATATATTTGCTAGGTATACATTTGCATGATAATTATTTATTTATGTGTAATATCACTTACATTATTTATGTGTTACTTATTTTCATTATAATTATTTATTTGTTACTTATTTTCATTATTTACTAAACTTGAAGCCTTCTTACTTATTTTCATTATATTTGTTACTTATATATATATGTATATATTTGCTAGTTAATTATTTTCATTATAATTATTTATTTGTATTATTTATTTGTTACTTATTTTTATTGTGTAGGAACTTCAAGCACAAGCTTGGTATGCTGCCAAAACCAAAACCAAAAATAAATCATTCAACCGGTGGGAATGTTGGAATATTGTCAAAGATTGTCCTAAATTTAGAGTTGTGCCAGTCGGTCCAGAAGTGCACATGAACAGCACCCCTCTACACTCTTCACCCGATCATGTTCATGAAGATGATGCAGAAGAAGTGCCCGAAACGCCCCTCCCTGAACAAGCGTCGGGTTCGACCCGTTTTCCAATTAGGCCTCAAGTTAAGAAGGCTTCAAAGAGAAAAAGGAGTGCTTCCAAGAACGATTATGCAAAGTTCATGGAAGAACTTACTCGCCAAGGTGAATTGACTTTGGCGAGGGAACTGGCGAAAGATGAGGCTGATAAGGCTGATAAGGCATCAAAAGCAGCAGTTGTTGAGAGAGAATGCTAATGAGAGAGAAAGAGAGCTACTTAGGCAAGAAAGGGAACATGTTAGAGAAGAAAGACGGGCTCAACAAGATCGTGAGATTATGAACATGTCTTTAGAAGGGAAGTCTCCAAATTCTAAATTTTTTTGGAAGTCTCCAAATTCTAAATTTTTTTGGAAGTCAGAGAAAGCGGACGTGGTGCGAAGGAGGCGTGCAAGAGAAACAATAGCAAGCCAAGGTGGTTCTAGCACCGCAAGAGAAGATCATCCTAGTAGCACAAATTGGTTAAGTGATGATGAATAGAGTACTTTTTGTAATCGGAGCCCATAATTTTCCAATCACTTTGGGTTGTAATTTATTATTTATTGTTTGTATTATTTATGTTGTTTCCATGTTCATGAATATTTATTCAAATTAATTTGGTAAGTTATTTATATTAAGAATTAATTTGGTAAGTTATTTATGTTGTTAAAAGTCCATTAAAAGTCCATCGTTCTAATTAAAAGTCCTTTACATAGATTACATATACTAAGAATTACATAAACATAAACATAAAAAAATTACATAAACATAAACATAAACATAAACATACTAAGAATTACATAAACATAAACATAAACATACTAAGAATTACATATACTAAGAATTACATAAACATAAACATAAAAAAATTACATAAACATACCAAATAATAAAACACACCAAATAAAATAACATAAACATACCAAATTCAAAATAACACACTAAAATGAACTTAATTATCTTCAGCTTGTTTCAATGCCCACTGGTGCTCTATCAAGTCAATTTGTCGGGCATTGTGCATGTCTGGCATTTGAAATGCAGTATATCGTTGAATGAGCCTTTCATTGTAACGTCCATCCCTTTGTAATGGCTCATGTTGCACGGGCTCATCGGTGGCGTCATGAGCACAATATATACGTGTTCTTGAATTGTTCATCGGGTCTCGCTCATATTCATCAACAGCTTCATAATCGTACTCATCTTCCACAATCATGTTGTGAAGAATGATGCACGTCATCATGATGGATCGAAGCGACTCTACATCAAACAATCTGGCAGCACCCCTGACGATCGCCCAGCGAGCTTGGAGGATATCAAAACAACGCTCCACATCCTTCCTGCACCCCTCTTGACAGCTTGGAAAGTGTTTTTCCTTCGCACTCCGCGGACGTGGCACTGTTTTGACAAATGTTGACCAGCGCGGGTAGATGCCGTCAGCTAGGTAGTATGGCCCGTCGTACATACGTCCGTTGACCTCATATGTAACTTTTGGTGCCTTTCCTTGCAGGACATCGTTGAACACTGGGGATTAGACAAGAACGTTGATGTCATTTTGAGCTCCCGGGACCCCGAAAAAGGCGTGCCAAATCCATGTATCAAAAGATGCCACCGCCTCCAGAATGATACTTTTTGCCCCTTTTCTGTCCCCGTAAGCGCCTTTGTAACATCCCGTCCCGGGATTTACGTAAGAAAATGAGTATTTTTGTATTTTCACTAAGTTTGGGGGATACTTTCCATTTTAAAATTGTTTTTAGCCTTAATTGGTGAGCCCAAGGGGCCCACCCCCTGTTTTGTTCCCGGTTCCCTATCCCTTTCCCTTTTCCTTTTTTTTCTGAAAAGTCTCTCCTCTCTTCTCTCTTCTCTCTTTCTTCCTCTGTGATTTCTCCATCCCCCCTCTCGGTCCGACAAGAACACACACACACACACACACCCAAGCCCACACCTATAGCTCTTTTCGAACCCCATGGTTGTGTTTTGGACGTCAAACCACGAAGAAACCACCTCGAAGACTCTTTCCCAATTTTCCGGCGAGCACCGTCCCTTTCGAGGCGATTTCCGGCCAAACCACGGCGAGTTGGCCGGCGTGCAAGGTATCAATCTCTTCGTCTCGCTGAGTACTACAACTTTCCTTTTTGTTTCACCTAATTTCATTGAGTATTGAATAAGTTATGCTCATTTGAATCTTACCCAGTTTCCGGCGGACACCCGTGGCTTACAAGCTGTTTTCCGGCCAACTCCGGCCACAATGACGGGAACCAAGGGTATATTTCGATTCCTTACCTTCGGGGCTTCAATTTGGTATATTGAATGACATGTTTTGGTTGAGTTTGGAGCTCCAACGGAGCTTGGGAATTCTCCGGCCGAAATTCGGTCTTCTCCCTCTTTGGACTCCGGCGAACACCCAAGGCCTTTGGGCCTTTCCTGCCAAGCCCAAAACCTGGGCAGCCCAACCCAACACCCTTTGTAATTAGGCCTTTGGGCCGTTTGTTTTAGGGCCTCTGGCCCGTTAACCCTAAACCCATTAGACCCAAACCCTTAGGCCCAACCCGGATCCAACCCAAGTCCAAACCCAATACCCAAACCCATTTACCCTAACCCAAAACCCTAAAACCCAAACCCGTGACCCTGACCCGTTGACCCGTGACCCGTTGACCCGTTGACCCTGACCCGTTGACCGTTGACCCGGTCAAAGGTCAGCGTTGACCAGTCAACGGTCAAAGTTGACTTTGACCGTTGACTTTGACCTCGGGGTTGACTTTTTCGGTTTTCGTGCGGGACCCCTCCTAGGCTAATTTCGACGTCCTGAACCCGTTCCCGATGTCCGTTTTGCCAAATTCAATCGTTTGAGTAGAGTTTGACTAAATGTACCATTTATGTGCTTAGGGGCAATTATCGATGGCGTTTCCTTCTTCGCTAGATGACGTGGCTTTTCGACGGCGAAGTACTGTGAGTGGACCCCTTCTAAAAATGCATGTTTTGATAGTAGAAATGCATACATGAAAAGCATGATTTGATGATTATGTTTTATGAAACGTTTTACGAGATAACATGCTTACTGAGGCTAGTTTGAATTATTACTATTTTTCCTATAACCCATGTTCTTATAGAATATCTGATGGATGACGATATGATATTTAGAACATGTTTAGAACACTTCTTTATAGTATAGATGATGGATGACTTTATACTATGAAGTTGATTTTCAATATATGTATGTTCACTGGTTTTATACCTACCTAGTGGTCCTTTCCGCTACGGGACGTAGGGATAGATCCGGTCCGTCCCGGGCGACGGTTTGGTGTTGGCATAGGGCCTGGAGTGTGTTTTCCTCTGACTGTCTGCTCAGAGACGGGGAGCCGGCAAGGGGCCTGAAGTGTATTTTCCTCTGACTGTGTGCTCAGAGACGGGGAGCCGGCATGGGGCCTGAAGTGTTATATCGGACATTCACTAGTGTTTATTATTTATGCGATTTATGATTTGAGATATTGCACGACATGCTAGGTTTCGGAAAACCTATGTTTATCATTATATATTTGTGTTTTCATAAAACCTGGGGGTTAGTATGTTGATAACTGTTTTATTATATATATATATATATATATCAACTTGGTCCACTCATGTTTGTTTTGCGCCCCCTTCAGGACTTAGAATCGAGGCATACAATCCCGACGTCCAGGCACTTCAGCATCGGCATCTTCGAGTCCTCTCGGTGTAGGACCCACTCCTTCGTTTCATTCAATTTTATATTATTTTCTTTTAGTGTTCTAGATTAGTGGTGTGCTCTGAACACGGTCCTTATTTGCATATTCATTATTCTTTTATATTTATAAACCTTATTTATCCTTTATTTTCAACATTTGCACTTAATAAATGGCTTTCGTCACCCTCGGGTGTCGGCCAGCACGTGCCTATCCTGGTATTCGAGGAATATCGGGGTCGGGGCGTGTCAGCCTTGCCATGCACTTGGACAGTTTTTCCACGTCCAGTGCATACAATCAATGCTTCCAATCATCCCAGGAAAGCCACGCATCTCCGCCTTCTTCAACAGCCGCTCCAAGTCCATGTGTGTGGGTTTGCAGAGGTACTCAGCGGTGTAGATAGATTCGATTGCTCCGCAAAACCTCATCAGGGACTCAAGAATGGTTGATTGCCCCATCCTCGTTATCTCATCCACTTGGTCTGCAGATGCTCCATATGCAAGCATCCGCAAGGCAGCAGTAATTTTTTGCTCCGGCAGTAGACCCATAGCACCAAAAGCATCTTTTTTTTGCACAAAATAAGAATCATGGTTGCAAATAGCAATCATGATTTTGTTGAACAAATGTCGTTCCATTCTAAAACGACGTCTAAAGTACGAATCAGGGAATGCACTATTAGGAACAAAATAATCATCCAAGAGTTCCATACCTCGTCGTTGCCTGCTTCTATCAAGGTTTCCGGAACGGCTGGGCCTGCAGATCTGAGCCGCAGCTTGGATGACTCGACGGGAATGAATGGCTCTGCCCCTTCTTACTTCGTCATCTCTCATTTGACGCTCCTCATCTTCTTCCCTCTCATTTCTTACCCCCTGGTGATTGAACATTGATTCTGATTGGTTAAACAAGTCTTCCTCTTCCTGATTCAATTCCCACATCATCCTTGAGGAAGAAGAAGAAGACATTGAAAGAAAGAAACAGAAACTATGAATATTGATACTGATTTTTGTGAATAAGGAAGTAGAAAGTATGAATAATGATAGAGATCTTGAGAATTTTGGTGTGAGATTTGTGAAGATGGATGGTGGATTATATAGAAGATTCAGAAAGGATTAGGTTCTGCATAATGCCACGTGGCATGCCATCATTCGTTAAAAATCTGATGCAAATCTATCATCAAAGATTGTTAACAGATTATGACACGTGGCATGCCGTCATTCGTTTAAAATCTGATGGAAATCTATCCTCAAAGATTGTGAACCGATTATGACACGTGACGCGACGTGATTGGTTAATAATCTTATCAGAAATCCATCACCAATAATTGTATTATTTTGTATTATTTAATAATACTTAGGATAATGACACGTGGCGTAACGAGAACGATTAAAAATCTTATCCGATATTACATTTAAAATTATTTTGTATTAATTTTATAAATAACAAAAATACTAATATTTTATTGCCTATTGCCAGGGCTATAGAAGTGTAACGGTGGAGATGCAAAATCTATTGCCAGGGCTACTTACTGTTCATTAAGGGCAATTACTGTTCATTAGGTGGATTGAATAGTGTATTGCCAGGGGGAAGGGTTCCAACGCTAGAGTTGCTCTAAGGGTATGCGTAAATACACCTAAATAAAAGAGTTTGCCAACTCACCACTTAGTCTCGAATTTTAGTGTGAATGTTCCGCTTCTGTCAATCTTTGTTAGAATATCAAAATCATCATTTGCTGGCACGTGATAATTTTCTTCATGCGTATTGTCACCACTCCAAGAGCCCTAGACAACTTACGACTTGGGGTAAGAATTTCGTTAACTGTGTACAACTTGTTTTAGAGGAAGAAAAGCATACGTTCACGGTATTAGTCAACTGAGTTCTTTCCCGGCCCTAAGTCATTTAGCGGTCTTTAAGTGGAAAATCTTTGAAAAATGACTCACATCTGTTGTTGCGAATGACACATTTTTTTACTCAAACTTTGTAACGAAAATTAACGGAAGTGGTACAATCACACTAAAACATATAAATACGAACGGTAAATGACAAGAAAATTTGGGTGGTATTTGTGTCCATCCCTAATTGTCCGTGTTTAAGCTATGCATTTGACATGTCCTTGATGATGAAGGTTAGTATAAACCTAGGAGGTCAAAATTAAGACTAGGAAAACGGATAGCCAAGTATGTCTCAAAAGAATAAGCAGCAGCAAGAGATGCTGACCAAATTACGAAATAGCTCAGGCAATTGCCCAACTGTCAATGAATTAAACTTGTTCTTAACTACAATCTGTTAGAAAATTATTTGAGAAAAATGTTACAAGACGATCCTATACACAAATAATTCTGTATTTTCCGGCTACATTCAGCCCGAAAGAGGGTCACTTCCTCAAGAAACTGTTCACAAATAGACTTTGGAAAATCTGCTGCAAAAAAAAAAAAATACCAATTACTGCGAGTATTTTGGCTTCGGAGGACAGTAAATTATCCACTTTTTCCATGAAAAAAGCCAGACTGAAGATTCGCTGCATGAAAACTCACATCAAACATCTCATCTCTCTTAACTTTTCTGTCTTCGTTGCAGGGAAGCAGACATGAAACTCTTTCACAAGCAACCACGTGATTTAATTTCCGGATTCTAAAGGACGATATGAAGCACATGAAACTCCTGCATAAGTGCAGCGTCCGTAGGCATACCCTAGCTTCTTTCACATGGTCACCATGCGAGTCTACAAAGAACTATGATTCCACCTACCAAACCAAAAAAAGGAACAAGGATACACAAATCAATTTCAGGCAATTCTGATTGACGAAACAGATACCGAAGATTATTGCGATGATAAATTACGCACCGATTGTTGTCTTTCAAATGTACACTAAACACTGTTGTGATGATTGATTCACTTGCAATTTGGATTCCTTGAGAAAATTTAAGCAGAGCAGTCCAATTAAAAAAATGCAGCACATAAGAACAAAATTTCACTTGCAAATTGCAATTTGGATTCCTTGAGAAGGCAAATTTCAATAGAAAATCGTCCATAAATGCTGCTAGTATACGAAAGAACGTCATATATCGCTCTAACAAGCCTCTAGAGACCAGTGCCATTGTCTCTAAACTTTAATCTCCAGCAGCCTCCCACACTCTTACTGCAAATGCAAGTTCACATGCCAAGTTTAATAATTAAAGGAAAGCAGAAACAGTAGGAACACAAATCGGCTTGATTCAAACAAGGTATCACTAAATCCCTATAAAACATGACAAGCAAAGAGGCAGGCACATGTTGTGAACATTTGCTCAAATATTTCGAACTGTATATGCCAACCTGTGCTGATCATTAGACATCTAGTAATATTCAATTTGTGATGCTTGTCATGTCGTGGCCAACAACGATGTTCTGGAGTGCCATGATGCAAGGGCTACCATGTCAAGATAAGTTATGACAAGCCATGCTAAGCGTGCAATATGCTTGCCATGGCATGTCATCGCATGCCCACAACGATGTTTTGGTGTGCCACGATGCAAGGGTTAGCATGTCAAGACAAGTAATGACATGCACCTTTTATTTGCAGGTGTTCTTACTGGTAAGAACATGTTCAATATATTCTTCACTGATTATGTGGTTTTCTAACACCAAAGCTTCGTATAAATAGAAATCTGTGGTGCGAAAAGGATTCCAAAGTTTCTTTTTGCAGCTTCGGTGATAGTGCATCAGCTGAACCGTTACCTCCAGTCACGTATGAAACTATCAAGTGAGATAAGTACCGAACTTTCTAACATATATTTCAATCACTTTAGCTGTAATAATTGGCTCTATGAAAATGAGGCGTTGAACTTTGCTACCGGTTCTGCAATGGCAAAGCACTCCAATAAATTAACTTTATAAGAAAATTAAGGACTTGGCCATGCGTAGTTCTACTTACCAAATGACTGGAAAATTAGTAGTTCCTATAACTTAAGAGATATGAAACCCAAATCGCACGCCTTTGTGTAGTCAAACTGAGAGTCTGCATGAAGTTCGCAGCCTGAGCAGTGTGAAGGAAGTAATATCAATTAGAAATAAGTATAAATCCAATGCACCCAATCCAAAAGTGAGAAAAAAAAAACTTACCAATTGGCATGCCAGGTTGAAGAAATCTGGCAATCATAAGCAAGACTTCTTCGAGAAAAATTTTCAACTGCGAAGAACATTCTCTATAGAATTGGCACCGTTCTTTGGCATCAGGGACATTCTACAGACAAACTTTAACAGCCTATAAAATGTGGTAACACCAAACAGATCACATTCCTCTTTTCATCTTTCTACCGCATTTTAGTTTTATTACTCTTTTGTTTTGACTTAGAGAACAAAGTTACCTCATATGCGCATACAATGCCAAGGTCATCGAGGCAGTACAAGTTGTTGTGTAACTTCTTTTGAAGCATCTTTATATTGTCCTTGATGTCTTGGTACTGACTTGGCAGTTGCTCTTGCAACTCCAACTCAGAAGCATACTGTCTATGAAATTAGTGTATTCAGAAGTACAGTAAGTAGAAGCTAAGACATAAGTTTTAACGTATTCTGTGAACGAAAGATATGATACGACGTGGGACTACCTTCGACAGCAGAGCTTCCATCTTTTCTTTCAAATCCAAATAGGCGGACCATGCTTGCTCGTAAAACCTACATTTGTGGACCGCTGAGGGAACAAATGTTTTGATTTCAGTCATGTCTTCTACAGTGTAAACCTGCATCGGGCCGTCTCAAGATATTTAGACAACAAAACTGTGACTAAGTCTAATAATAAATGGAGAATAATCATAACCAAATCTCAAAATACCTGAGCATCCAAGATGCCTTCAAGTGCAGATATTTAAGCCTCAGAATCCATGGCGGACGAGACACTAGAAATTCGAAAGGATCTCTTGAATATTTTGCATAACAGATCGTAGAATTTCACTAGCTATGAAGCACCAATATCCGACCGTTTCTAAGTTGAAGATTGCTGGTAGCGCGATGACATTCGTCAAAGATTATCAAGCTGAACATTTCTAAGTTGAAGAAAGCATTCATCATGACATCCAAGAGAACCTGTGGTGTCATGACCAGTATCTGCAGCATAAGAAGAAAATAAATCAGTGATTAGTTCTAAATCTCGGAAATAGTTTGTACAAAAAAAGCTGATTAAGCATCGAGTAATGATTACCTGAAAACCGAAGAAAATTAAACTTACATCATGTCCGGCACAATCCCATTCGTTGTTGGCCATTTAACATTTCGAGGAAGTTGGGATTATGCCTTGTATAAGGCTGCCATGGAATCTAGAAAATTCATATTATGTAATGCAAATTAAATAATTTGGAATAAGCCAGAAGTGATACAGAAAAGCCAGAAATTATATAAACTCATACAAACTTAATGATTTTGTTTGAAGGGTGACACGCCTCAACCTAGATATTCAAATGACATCTGGATGGCATGTGCTGACCAACACTCGAGAGTGACAAAAGTCATAATTATATGAATATGCAAGAACATAAGAAAACATGTGATTGAGAAGTTGCATGAAAAACAACAATCGTAAAGAATATACAAACGCTAATGAAATAGCAACGATAAAACATTAGTAATAATATAAGGATAATATCCAACTGTTAACAATCTGAAAGAAAGGATGCACGAATATGTTGAGAGCATACAACTAAACAAGAGTGTTAGTGAAATGAAAGACATTAAGTTACAATTATACATAAAAATGTCATATGTTGAGAGGAGAACACAAGATCACTAGAAAGGAAATGCCTCGATGCTTGGGTCGTATGCCTCGTCACTAGGACTTGAAGGGAGCACAAAAACAAAAGGTGAGTCGATTAGAGTTTATAATAATAGTAATAATAAGAAAACCATTATATATCTGAACATACTAACCCCACCATTTTGAAAACAATATAATACTACATAATAGGTTTTTCCGAAACTGTGACATTCCTTGCAGCACAATTTCCTTGTTAATTGTGAAATATTTCATCCTTCTAAGCTTTGTTTTTGGTTTTTTCTCAGAATCATGAATACTCGTGGTGGGAATGTGCCTCGTGGTGGTAATGTACCTTGTCATCCTCGTACTGGTGTTTTGAGTGGAATTCATCAATTGGTTGCCCCTCTACAACATGCATTCCCTAGGAATAGCAGGCAAAACCACACTTATGTGGAAATTGCCCAAAGTCATGGTGTTACTAATTTAAATGTTGTGGGCGCATGTGAGGAGGCCAAGGAATGGCTTGAAAATGTTGAAGATATTTTTGAAAGTGTGGATTGCCCTGCAGAGAAACGGGCGAAGACCGCAGGGTATTTTCTTATGGGTGGTGCAAAAATTTGGTGGGAGTCTACGAAACGATCTCAACCACCTAATCGACCAATGACATGGAGTACTTTTCGGAGACTCTTTTCATATTATTTTATGAGTCCTCAGTATAAAGCAAGTAAGAGACAAGAATTCTATGCGCATTGCCAGGGCAACATGTCGGTGACAGAACTTGATTGTACTTCTAGAGGATTGGCGAGACCCGTTCCCTCTGCTTATGAGCACCCGCAAGAGATGATGAACCAACTTGATATTGCCCTGGATGATGATATCCGCAACTTTATGTCAGTACATGAGTATAATTCCTATGAGAGTATGATCAGAGCAGCTTTGAGAGTGGAACGGTCACTTTTGTATTGCAGCAATCATAATTTGCCTCGAAATCAGTTTACTCGGGGTCAAGGTTTTTTATCTCGGAGCACCAAAGAGCATTCATGTTCTTCTACTATCGGCCCTAGACACTCACTATCATTCAAACGTCACGGTCAGGGTTCGCGGATCTTCTAGTGAAGGATCGAGTAATGAGGCATCGAGATAGTTTTTTAGTCATTTCACACCAGCCGCTCCGATTTGTATGCGTTATGGTAGACGTCATCGAGGAAATTATGCTGCATGGAGTGACTAGTATTTTAGGTGTGGAGGCGCTGGATGTTAGGAATATAATAGAACCTATATGTAATTAAAGGTTTTACTTTACTTAGCTGTTAAGCTAATTGTATCTATTTATATGATACTGTATTCTTTCAGACAGTAAGATGAATTCATTCAATCAATACACTTCTCTTTCTAGAATCCTCTCTCTCTCTACCTTTATCTTTTCTCTCACAGAATCATAAGTTTCTACATGGTATCTTCGCCGATGTCTAACGACCTAGATCCACCGCTTCCGTCTTCTTGAATTTTCTCACCCTTTCTCTTCTCCCAAACAGATCTTATCTACCTGACCTTCTTCAATTTCTTAAAATTTCTTCTCCAATCTTGCTTCTCTGATGGCGACTGGTGTAAATTCTACGGATCTTTCTTCTCCGGCTGGTTCTTCTGGTTCTAATGTCGCGCCCAATGCGTCCAATCCGTCTCTTTCTTCGATCACTGTTCAGAATATCACTGGCATGGTTGCAACGAAACTCACTCGCCACAACTACATAACTTGGCGTAGTCTCTTTCTTCCTGTTCTGAAATGATTCAAGCTTTTAGGGCTTGTCAATGGAACTGATGTGTGTCCTCCTCCATTTGTGACTGATTCGTCTGGATCTCAAGTTTCTAATCCCGCATTTGAGACTTGGTGCGATCGTGATCAAATCCTGATGATTTGGATTAATTCAACATTATATGAAGATCTCCTTCCATTGACAGTTGGCATGGACGATTCTAGATCTCTCTGGCAATCTCTCGAACGGCGGTTTTCTGGTGCATCTCGTACTCACATTCACAGCCTTCGTTCGAAGATTCAGACTATCCAAAAAGGAGATTCTTCAATGACTGATTACCTCAACTCTCTTAAGGAAATCTCTGATAAACTTGCCGCGGCTGGCGAACTGATTTCCGACTCAGATCTTGTGGCCTACATTCTTTCTGGTCTCTCCACTGAGTATGAATCATTTATTGATTCTATTGAAACACGATCTGACTTTGTCAATCCTGATGAGTTGCATGGATTACTCCTGAGTAAAGAGATTTCTCTTCTGAAATGCAAAACCAGAGAACCGTCTTCTTCTTCAGCACCGTTTCATGCTTATACGGCTCAACCTGGTGTTTCTGGTTCCAACAATTTCAGTGTGCCCGTGATTGTTCTACTGGTCAACCAACCGAGGGAATTGCATCTAGTTCAGTTTATGGAGGAGGTGGTAGCTCGGGTACTCAAAATCAAAGTCAAGGACAGCATCAAAATTCGGAAAATGCGTTGGCACAAAATTTAATTAATTCGTATTAAAATATTATTAATTATTTAATAAAATTAAAAAAAATAGTTTTAATTTCGGATAGGATTTTTAATCAATATTGTGACGCCATGTGTTATTATCCAAAAGTACTATTTTGTAGATAGATTTCCGATAAGATTTTTAACTAACCCAACGCGCCACATGTCACTATCTGTTTACAATAATTTGGCCAAGATTTCGATAAGATTTTCAATCAATCTTGTCACACCACGTGTCATTATTCAAAAGTACTATTTTGTGGATAGATTTCCGATAAGATTTTTAACCAATCCTGACGTGCCATCTGTTTATAATAATTTTGCCAAGATTTCGATAAGATTTTCAACCAATGCCACGTGACATTATCCAGAACCTCATCCTTTCTTTTTTTGTCTATATAAATCCTACATCCATCCTAATTCATACACCAATCTCAAACTAGCTCAGAATCCTTCTTCATCGTTTTTAAATCTTGAGTTCTTACAATGTCTTCCTCAAGAAGATTGTATGAAATCGATGAGCAACAAAAAAAATTATTTGCAGGACAGGAATAATTGTTCAATCTCGAGGAAGGTGGAGATGAAGCTTTCGCAATGGAAGAGGATGAGGATGATGAACATAGAAGGCAAAGAGCCTCACATTTTCGTCGTATCATGAAAGTTGTGGATCAGATATCCAAACCTAGACGTGCCGCAATCTTGGATAGAAAGATGGAAAACCGAGGTAAAGATCTATTGGAAGATTATTTTATCCTCAACAGTTTATTCCCTGATCATATTTTTAGATGTCGTTTTAGAATGCAACGAAGTTTGTTCGAAAAAATCATGATTGTTATTTGCAACCATGATCCATACTTTGTGCAAAAAAATGAGGCTTATCATGTTCTAGGTCTTCTTCCTGAACAAAAAATTAATGTTGCCATGCGAATGCTTGCATATGAAGCATCTGCAAGCCAAGTGGATGAGATAGCGATGATGGGAAAATCAACTGTTATGGAGTCCCTGATAAGGTTTTGCTCTGCAATCGAAGCCCTCTACATCAATGAGTACATCCGGAAACCCACAACAATGGACCTGCGAAGGTTTTTGAAGAAGGGTGAGATGCAAGGTTTTCCTGGCATGATTGGAATCATCGATTGTATGCACTAGACCTGGAAAAATTGTCCAAGTGCATGGGTAGGAGCTTATGGCGACAGAAAAGGAGCCAAAAGTATCATTTTGGAAGCGGTGGCTTATTTGATACATGAATTCGGCATACTTTTTTGGTGTTTTAGGAGCTCAAAATGACCTCAATGTCCTTGCTTAATCTCTAGCGTTCGACGAGGTGTTACAAGGAAAAGCACCAAGAGTCACATATTGGGTCAATGACTATAAATATGAAAGAGCATACTACCTAGCATACGACATTTACCCAAGGTGGACAATGTTTGTCAAAACAGTGCCACATCCACAAAGTGAAAAAGAAAAATATTTCACAAAATGTCAAGAGGGGTGTAGGAATAAGCTTGCAGGATATCAAAACAACGCTCTAACGAACTTGCAGGATACCAAAACATTCTAGCCACAGCCCTGACAATCGCCCAACGAGATTGCAGGACACCAAAACAACGCTTCACATCCTTCCTACACCCCTCTTAACATTTTGCTAAATGGTTTTCTTTTTCACTTTGTAGATGTGGCACTGTTTTGACAAACATTGTCAATCTTGGGTAAATGTCGTCTGCTAGGTAATATGTTCCTTCGTATTTATGGTCATTGACCCAATATGTGACTCTCAGTGCTTTTTCTTACAGCATCTCGTTGAACACTAGAGATTGGGCAAGAACATTGAGGCCATTTTGAGTTCCCGGCACACCCAAAAAAGCATGCCAAATTCATGTATCAAATGAAGCCACCGCTTCCAAAATGATACTTTTGGCTCATTTTTCTATCGCCATAAGCTCATTGCCACACACTTGGACAGTTTTTTCAAGTTCAGTGCATACAGTCGATACTTCCAATCATGCTAAAAAAGTCTCGCATCTCATCCTTCTTCAAAAACCTTCGCAGGTCTATGGTCGTGGGTTTCCGTAGGTACTCATTGTTGTATATGGCTTTGATTGCGAAGCAAAACCTTATAAGGGACTCTAGAACAATTGATTTTCCCATCCTCGCTATCACATCCACTTGATCTGCAGATGCTCCATATGCAAGCATTCGCAAGGTAGCAGTAATTTTTTGCTCAGGAAGAAGACCTAGAACATGAAAAACCTCTTTTTTTTGCACAAAGTATGGATCATGATTGCAATTAGCAATCATGATTTTGTCGAACAAATTTCGTTGCATTCTAAAATGACGTCTAAAAATATGATCAAGGAATAAATTGTTGGGGATAAAATTATCTTCTAAGAGATATTTATCTCGTCTTTCCCTATTTCTATCCAAGTTTGCAGCGCATCTGGATTTAGATATCTAACCCACAACTTCCATGACACGACGAGAATGTGAGGCTCTTTGCCTTCTATGTTCATCATCCTCATCCTCTTACATTGCGAAAGCCTCATCTCCACCTTCCTCGAGATTGAACAATTCTTTCTATTCTGCCAACAAGTTTTTTATTGCTCATCGATTTCATACAATCTCCTTAAATAAGACATTGTAAAAACTCAAAATTTAAAAACGATTAAGAATGATTCTGAGCAAGTTTGAGTTTGATGTATAAATTAGGATGGATGTAAGGTTTATATGGACACAAAAAAAAAAAAAAAAAAATGATGAGATTCTGGATAATGTCACGAGGCATTATGTGATCGGTAGAAAATCTTATCGAAATCTTGATTAAATTATTGTAAACAGATAGTGACACGTGACGCGTTGGGATTGGTTGAAAATCTTATTAGAAATTTATCCACAAAATAATACCTTGGGATAATGACACGTAGCGTGACAATATTGATTAAAAATTATATCCGAAATTAAAACTAATTTTTTTATTTATCATTTTATTAAAAATAAAATTAATAATATTTTAATACGAATTAACTAGATTTTGTACCAGCACATTTTTTAGGAATGGAGATACATTTAGTCAATTACTGTTCATTGGAGTCAATCAACATTCATTTAAGTGGATTAAATGGACTAGACGCAGCGCATTTTTAGGGATGTACTTACTCTAAGGAGAACGAGCAGTGGACTGGACAACTCCTGCCGTAACCGTCCAAATAGGAAGGAAGGGCCTTGTAAAGGAACTAGAATTTTCTCCCCATTTTTTTTTCATCCCCTTCCCTCGTCTCCTCTCACATTATCTATTTTATCTTTCTCTTTCAATATAAAATTAATATAAGATGTTGACGTGATTTAACCGTAACCGTCCAAATAGGAAGGAAGAGAAGAATAGTAGGAAAAAAAAAAAAAAAAAAAAAAGAAGGGGGAGTAAAGAGATATATGCAGACATCTTTGTCAGCACAAAATTCCAGTTGGCCTTCACTTGACAAGGCCTCCCTGTGGACCAAAAATCCTACCTTCTCGTAATTGAAATCTCACTCCACTCCTCTATACAAACAAACCCGCTATTGATTTCTCAGAAAAATATAACAAAAATTGCTGAGTGAAAAAATGCTTCCAGGAAAATCAAAAATTTGGACAGATCAAATAAATAAAAAAAATATAATATAATAAAAACATGATACTTACTTGGGGAAGACGACGTTAGTTTGGAATCGCGTTGCTCTCTCAGGAACATACACATGATAATATGGCAGAAGGACAATGTGGCAGTGTACTAGGAACTGATGATCAGTAGTCTCATCTGTTATTATTCCTTCCCGGACTTCTGTTAATCCATTACACACAACATTGGGGAAGATCACATACTTCATGATAATGTAAGGATTTGGATTTTCAATTGCATCAATGATAGGAAGTTTAAGCGAGAGAGATGAAGAAACAAAGAGCGAGAGAGGGTAAGCCGAAGAAGAATATAGAGGGCTTTGCTTGGGGTGCCCATCTGAAGATGGAAAGCCCAAGTGTTCACGAAAGTCACAGTGCTCTAAATTTCTGCTGTTTGGATTTTCTCCTTCTTGTGTACAAAGCTCTACGAAAGCATGGTTAAATGACTCAAATCATTCTCCAACACAACTTACAAAATACAAATGCTCCAAGTCATTCGGCCATAGCCGTTGGATTACAAAAATCTAACCTCAACTACCCTTCAAACTTGTCCGTGGCCGTTGGATTACAAATAGCCATTGGAATCTTCAGCCTTTGTAAGCTGAGTGATGTCATTTTCTTTTTCATTCCTTTGTTTTGTTAGAGAAATTTTTTATTGTGATCGGAATAATAATGGTATACCACGTATTTTTATATAAATGATTGAAAATTTTATTTTTTAAATTATTAACATTTTAGCACATATATTTCACTATTTATATAATAGCACGTAATATACCATTCTGTATTCTGATCACATTAAAAAAATATCTCGTCTTGTTGCTGTTAGTTTCATGCATGGTGCATCAATCACTTCATCTTCATGCATGCTTTCTCCTTAAAGGACAAAGTAAATTTTTTTGGAAACTAGGACAATGTAAATTTTGGATCCACTTTTTCCATGAAAATAAAAGCAAAACCTGAAGATTCTCTGCTTGAATACTCAGTACATCACAGACATCTTTTCTCTGATTTCATGCACGATTCATCGATCACTTCATGCATGCTTTCTCTTTATTCATTTCAGGCCTTGTTTTTTCCATAGCACTGTGACTCTCGTGAAAACTCAACCAACATTCAACTCTCTTTCCAATTCCACGTCATTTAGGACTATCGTTCTGTGTTGCGGTAATCAGTTTATATATGCAATAAAATGACCACGTGGCGCAATATCTTGATAGATATGAGATTGAATTTCTATATGTGCGTTTCGGGTTCAAAATCCTTTTTTTTTCTTTTTCTTTTCAACAAAAGAAACTAATTTACATAAAATTCATCTAAATTATAGAATACTTAAGCCTTGTTGCCATAAGAAAGTAATTACTCAATCGAGCTGTAGTTACAAAAACTATTTTTACCTAATGATTCTTAATAGTTTAATTTAAAAGATACTAGGGTATAAGCACGTACTTTGCGTGTGAACAATTTCATTTTCTTTTTTGTTTTTGAGTAAGGAGTGTGATTAGTTTTTAAAATTTTTAAAAAGAGCATAAGACAATGATGATGAGATCTCTTAATAAGGGCATATTTTTTTCATTTTGTTTTTTGTTTTTTATTAAGGAGTGTGATTAGTCTTTAAAATTTTTAAAAAGAGTATGAGACAATGATGATGAGATCCTCTTAATAAGGGCATATTTTTCATAATATTACATAATTATCATTTTGCCCTCTTTATGTAAATATTGTGTATAAAAAATAAGAGTAAAATATGAAAAATAGGGATCTGATTATCATTTTGTCAAAAGGTACAAAATTACTATTTTACCTTCCTCATATCAACATTGTGTATTCAAAAGTGGGGCATCATTGAAAGAAAATAGGGTAAAAAGTTGACAAACCCTCTTCTCTTAATAATATAGATAGATTACATCACTTTTGTCGAACAGATCCATTTTTATCGACTTGGATTCCACCCATGTTACATTACCTTATAGAGAAACTTCAACTTTCCCTAATTTCCATGTTTTTTTTTTTTTTTTTTTTTGAATAAAGAGAGGTTATATTAAAACCAAGGCCGGAGCCAAAACCACAGGGAGGCCTACCAAGAGGCAACAACGAAAGGAAACAAACAGAAAGCAGAGAAGAGCCAAGGGAACAAAAGCTAAAGACGTTGCACCAAGTGCCAAGTGTCGCCCCCTTCACTACCCAAAAAATTAAGAAGGACACGGAAGGCCATCCTTATTTAGAATATGGACCCACAAAGATGGGGGATGGTTAATCCAAGTAAAACCGCACATCTCCGTGTTACTTCTCGACGCCAAACGGTGCGCCGTCATATTGGCCTAATTTCCATGTTTTTAAGTCAATTTATTTTGGTAGGAGATGCATTAACTGCATAATCAAATGGAAATAATAATAAAAAAATAAAAAAAATCAATTCATACCAACCTGTTTCCAAAAGATAAAATAAAATAAAATTCTTACGAGATGTCCGTACAATGTTACAAAACCCTCCAACAACCTTTAGCAGAGACACAGGCATCCTCAAAATACTCAAGAGTCAAAACTACAATTGGCTTAACATAACTCAAGACAAACCCGAAATCAAAACCTTTCAGCCAATCTGGCAGTAACTGCTCTTAATTTCGAATACACTTTTCCGGCAGGGGACCCTAAGATAAGGCTGCAAAGAGAATCCCTTGCAACTTTAATATTTGCAAACGAACCCAGTATGTGAATCTTGGTGTCAGCAATCACAATCCTCGTCTTTGTAGCATTCTCGATTGCAAACTTTGTTTTACCGCCCTTACCGGACAGTCTTCCTATAGCACGAGACAAGTGCTCCCCACGAAGGGTTTTAACGTCCTTGATCTCAAACGACTCTACATAGAGCTCATCCATCCGCAAAAGGGCAATGGCGTCTATAACATCAAAGCCCAGCATGAAAGCCTGAACAAAATCGGCGCACTTCTGTAGATTACTTACTTCGGGTGTGTCAGCTCTAGTCTTTAACTCAACTTTGCGACCCTTGAGATTCATACGAATGTCTATCTTCATCTGCTCATAAATTGGTGTGTATATGTCCATCCAAGCTTTCTTGAGGGGCGAATAACGATGTGGCGGAACAGAGACTTTCCGGAACTGGACTTGTCCATCTGACATCTCATGAGCCTTCAAAGGCGCAAACAATGGCTTGGGTGGTAAAGTCACAGCCGCTGAATTTGGTGCAGATGGACCTGCTTCAACTTCCATGGCTGTAAGAGCTCCGTTGGACTGCATTTTTACCTCCGCTCACTACGACCCTTCAAAGATTAATCAAACGTTGATCAAGGGATTAATATAGCAGCACAAAATCAGATATTCATACAAACCCCGCTTACAAACCAAAACAAACATCTATTACAATAAACCTCTACTCTAATAAGCTCTATATGCCACTTAGTACTACGTTCTAGTGGTTCCATGGCTGTAAGAGCTCCGTTGGACTGCATTTTTACCTCCACTCACTACGACCCTTCAAAGATTAATCAAACGTTGATCAAGGGATTAATATAGCAGCACAAAATCAGATATTCATACAAACCCCATTTACAAACCAAAACAAACATCTATTACAATAAACCTCTACTCCAATAAGCTCTATATGCCACTTCGTACTACATTCTAGTGGTATTCCTCTTCACTTGTAAATGACCTCTTCACTTGTAAATGACAGGTCTTAGGTTCGGTCATAAAGAAGCAACCCTTCCGTTGAGCCAAGGCTCACCCACAAGCTCTATAATATCAGTGAAATTATAAATATACGAGACATTCGTATAACGCAAAATAACCCTGCCTTATCTAGTGGACTACAACAGTTATTCTCACAACCACCACCATGGAACATTCCGTGGCCTAAGATGCAATCATGAACCTATGATTTCACAACTGCTTCAATTAATCCACTTCCAAATTTACATAATATATGTAAAAAAATTAAATTAAATTTCGTATCCGAAGCGATTAAATATTCCCAATTTCATCATTAGGTGCCTGAAAAATTCTTATCAAGCTCGAAATCAGAACAAGCATCCAAATTGACACAAACCCAAATACGAAAAAACAAAGCTTTCATCAAATTCATACAAAGATACAGATATAAACCGATTTTTCAACATACCCACAAGATCTTAGATTATGCATGGTCTAATTCGATTGCGATTAAGAAATGATACAGAAAAGACTGAACCTTTATAATGAAAGAGAAAGTACCTGGACCGGGATTCTTCTTCTTCTCTCTTCCTCTGCGTGTCTTCGTCGATATGAGAAAGCAGAGAGGGAGGCTCGATAGAGGAAGAGAAGGATTAACTAGGGTTTTGATTTTATATGAAGTAGGTGTTTTGGGTATGGATTGGGCCTTATTTGTTCTTATAAAAATATTTAACAGGCTAGTCCACTTGCAACCCTGCTATGGGCTTTTATTATCATTGAACTGTTATTTATTTTATTTTATTTTGACAACTATGATGTTATTGAGTTAGATAATTAAATGTTTAAAGGAAGGGAATTGGTGGAGATCGAACTGCGACAAAGTGCATAAGTATTATTGTTTTTCATCAATACGGTAAAGCGTCATTTGCTTGAACTGTTAATTAATTACATAGTTTTTTGTTAGTCTTTAATTATTTGATATTAGCCATATTCTAATATAATCTACTAGGTGTCTTCAGTTGAGAATTTGAAAGATTTTAAAGGTTCATGCGTATTTAACTTGAGATTTTAAAAGAGTTACACAGAGAGGTTTGAATTTGGATGTATGTGACAAAACATTGTTCTAATCAATTTGGTTCCATCTAGACCCACTTTTAACAATCAGTTTTTAACTCCTCAATATGTCTTGGGTGAAAGATATTGTAAAGATTACTCTTGATCTAACTAACCCCAACAAACAAACAAGACTGTTGAATTATTGTGCTATATCTGATAATTTTAGAAGTCACATGAGAATAGCTTGCTCGAAATAGATTTATCACCGTGTAACTTTCAGATCTGATATTGCACTGTTATGTGAAAAGAAACTTACACTTGACATTGTATTGTTCAATCAAAATATCACTAGGAACGATTGTTTAAACTTACACATGAATTACACGAAGAACAATTACTGTACTTAATTTTCTTCAAATAAGGACGTCCTTAACATATAAAAAACTAATGTTGTTGTCGAGGTTTATCATGTGGAATAATAATCCGACATATTTCTTCTATCGTCCTTGTTTAAATGTTGGCACAAACTGAAAGCTAAGTAATCTCGTGAATCAGTACAATCCATACATGTAGAAGTTCTGCGAAAACCTTAAAAGTCCGCAGCCTCGATGATTAGGGCAAACATACCTTCCGCTGCTGCCCTCGATCATCACGGGGAACATACTTTGGCTGCAGCCTGCCGCATCGGAAGTTGAGCTTAATAATTATCTTAGCAATGACAGATAACAGTAGTCATACCCAAGATACATAGTTATTCAATGACTTATACAATTTAAAATTACTACTTCTAAGAAGAATAAAACATCAAACACGCATTAAGCGAAAGCATCCAATCCAGAAATATTTTTGGTTTTCAAAAACTCGCATCGCCCCTAAGTATAATGATGATCACGTGGTATAATTCTACTAAAGTTTTTCTCCTTAGTTTTAGTATGCTTCACCTCATGGAACGTAACAAAAGCGAAGGAAACGAGATCATCGAAATATCTAAACTTATAAAACTCCGCAGCCTCAAGACTTGCAGAAAGGATTGAGTTGTTGAGAATCAATGTCATTTGTAGGTCAAGTAAGTGTGTGAGGTTGGTGAAGTAAGTGGAGGTTGTAGGTGAAGTAGGTGGATGTTGTAGGTGAAGTAAGTGTGTGAGGTTGGTGAAGTAAGTGGAG